GAAGACTCTGAGAACTTATCATCTACCACAGCATCTGACATTAAATCAGTGCAGTCTTGACGCCTAAATGTCTTGGTTCAATTAATATCTAATCAACGAAAAGGTCTTTATTTGCCACTAAGCAAGATGTGATGTGGTCGTTGCAACCAATGATGACACTAATTAGTATGGCTTCAAAATAAAGTGATCTTGTTGTCACAAGGCATAGTACAGGTTTTGCTGTTTGAAGTCCTTTATTCAAAAACGGCCAAGCTGAAGCCAAGCATTTTATTTGAAGCCAAAGTGAAGGATATTGTCAAGATCAGTCAGTCAGAAGACGTCTGAATCTCTTAAAATTATTCGATAGGCAGAAGCAAAAAAAATCAACTGACCACCTTTTGCACCACCAGAAAGGTGTCTATATGCATTGTCATTCATCAGTTCCACTCTTGACTGCATAGTCGAGGTTTGGCAACGATACATGTACACATTGTAGAGCATTCAAAAGGAAAAGTGAAATATTCCGATTGAGTTTGCTTAGGAAGGTGCAGGGATGAAAGTAGCCTTGCCTTTTTAGAAATATAGTAATGTCGTTGAATGTATTGAAAAAACGAATTTTATCCATTCAGCAACTGTCCTGACATGAGAAATACAAATAGGCTCTGGTCCGGTTAACCTTGGCTGACAAATCTTCATGTGACTCAGTGGTACCGGTGGTCGCGTGATGGAGGGGAAAGGGTAACTCTGAATGTTGATGAGACGTTTTGGGATGCAAGTCTAAGTGAAAGGTAATGGAATCCTGATGGTGTAAACCAATTCCATTGTGGGCAATTGTTACAATTAGTCCGCGCATCACTTCCAGCCCCCTAAATGAATTATATGTTTCATGCTAAAAGCAGCATTAATGTAATGGCTGTTTTCAGTTATTCTAACACTTTGTGAAAGGTGACAAGTTGTAAGGGCATTAGAAACCATCAAGTAGCTTTAAGGATTTGATGTGAATTCACTAGATTTAATTGAGGATTGGATGGATGATGCATTTGCGACATCATCCTTTGTTTGATATCTTATTAATTTGAGCTTCACTTTCTAATTCAACCTATTTTACTAAAGGATCAAAGTAAGCGAACTGAATTCATCGAAGGGGAGAGGTTGGAGCTTTATCGCATGCTTGACACAGCTGAACAGAGAATCAATCTTCTTGAAGAAAAGGTAATCCTCTCACTTCTTGGAGTGATTAATTTCCCTTTAACATTTTGAGAAGCAGCAGAGTGAGGCTGACAAGACAGTATGATTTTAAAAGTTGAATAATAAATCACAATAACATTAAAAAAATTCAAGCTGCATATTACATAGGAGAAGGAGTGGAAGCCCTGTTAATTCAGATTGGTCCGACAAGTAGATAAAGGATAGTCTTTAAGGATGGTCGTGTAATCCTTGGCGATGAGTATGTAGTCGATTGTGACAGAATCTACAGTTTTAACGAAGGGTCCATTGTAGCAAGTTTAATTTAGAGAATGTTATTTTAATATGATTTTACTTTACAAGGCAAAACTATGAAAAATGGTCTTTTGATGGACACTAATGCTACTGGAATAGCCACATTTGCTAGTCAAATAGTCAAGGCCGTCTGTCTCCAAAAGACCTCCCCATTGAAGGCGTCAGTTTTGCCTACTAGAAGAGTCGATCAGGCAGGAATCCAACTTGTCGGGGCTCAAATCGGCTTGACGAAAAGGTTGGATGAAATATGCTTTTTTTTCTAGTTTAGACGGCTTTCATGAAGGCCATTCTTGCGAACGTGTCGCCATGACAATTGGTCGTCAAAAGAGCGGAATAGCTGGGTTGCCTTGGATGGGATCATTAGAAAAAATTCGGCGAAGCGAAGCTGCAAAGCTAGTCGTCTTGGCAAGGAGAATCTCGAAACCAAAAATCGGCCGATCGGCTGACGACCTCTTGACTACCAAGTCAGACATGCATTTTCGATGGGGCCAACCTGTTGTTATAGTGTCCTCCATGTAGCCAAATATGAGCAACAAAAGGGAACCGGATCTGTCTCATATGACCTATAGGCACCTGATCCGTCAACCTGTGGCCATGCTGTACCCGGACCAACATAATCTGCCTACCCTTCTAGTCAGCACATTCAGAAATGATGAAAACGAAGCAAGAGAGCAAGAGAGAGGGCATCTTCTTGGTGCTCTTCTTTGGCTGCCTGAACAGTTCCATTAAGAAGATCCAGAACTCAAAGCAAGTGAGATGACTTCTTTAAATTCTTCGGAGGTGGAGAAGCCAGCCTCATTTGGAAAGACTAGGTCTTGGAGAGTGTAAAATGTAGATTATTCCAGCAGATCTTCTCAATTGTTCTCGGAAGATGATGCAATTACTGGACATTGCAGAATCTGCCTGAATGGAAGCTCGTCTGGGAGTATTGTCTTGTCAAAAGTGTCTGGATTGACGGGCCAATTCAACTCAATTCGAAATCGACTCTAAAGTCAAATTTTCCCGTATCGTTGTCCTCGAAGAGTAAAGAGGGTAATGCTTCAAGATAGAGCCATGAAGAAAG